ACTATAAGCCTAGATGTGAAATGTTATTGGCAGATGCATTATCAAAAAGTCATCCATGTCCAGACTCCACCTGAAGAAGTGTACTTGAAGTGGATCAAGTATGGATGAAACCTGAAAGAAAGAGCTAGAATATGCCTACATAGCTGATCCTGAAACTTTCCGGTTGCTCAAATTTATTTCTTCTGGCTGGTTGGAACACAAATGAAATGTGCCAGAATGTCTTCAGTCTTTGTTCAAAAAACTACTCTCAAAAACTAGTTTTGACAAATGACATAAAAAATAACTTTATTTTACATCAGCAAACAATTTTAATGAATAAAGGAATATTTTCAACCTATTAATAGTCCTGTATCTGATTGATATATTTATACATTCTGTTTTTAGAATATATCAGGGCTGTGGAGTTGCGTAAAAATCTACCGACTCCAACTCCGACTTTTCCTTACCATCCGACTCCGACTCCTGCTAAAACACCAAAACTCCTCGACTCCGACTCCACAGCCCTGGAATACATGTTAGTTCTAATACAAACATTACAAAATTCAAATTTTGGAGCAATTTTGAAATTCACATGCATGTTCAAAAATTAACAAATTATATAATTGCACATTATGTTGTTGTTGTTGTTGTTGTTAAGTTCCATCGAGTCGTCTTTGACTCCTGGTGACTTCATGGACAAGTCTTCTCCATCTTGATCTTTTCCTTGTTGTTTCTCGTAGCTCCTCCAGCTTCATTTCTGTGACTTTTTCTATTTCTTCTATCCACATTATGCACATCATTATATAATGAGTTTGGAGTTTTCTTCTTCTTGTTGACTATTATTCAATGCAGGCCTTATTCTAAGAATTCTTTCCTACAGCACAAATATCAGTTTTGTTTTGACCAAACCAATAAATCCTAGTGTTAAACATCTGTCTTAAAAGATATAAATAGAAAATAAGGACAATAATACAAATCTTATATCTGTATAATTATGTATTAGTTTCAATCATCATTCAATCTTAATTGTTAGACATACATAGTGTGCACTGTGCATCTGAATGTGATATAATTTACTATACACTAAGTACACTGAAGCTGTGGATTATAGTCAACATGAAGTTGTGGATTATATCATTTAAAACTAATGATAATATTGATGTTGCAGCAGCATAAAAAATATCTATTGTATATATTTGATACAAATGGTAAATCCTACTAACATTCCTTCAGTAGTTTTTTTTCATATGCTGAATAATACATACACTGTTTGATTTAGGTAAATATTTTAACTTTAACCGTTTTATGTCATTAAATAAAATTTGTATTTCTTCATATTTATTATCAGATCTGATGACATTATTTTTGAAGTGTAACAAACATGAGCACATGAAGAAATTGTCCATGACATTAACAATTAAAAAAAAAAATGCTGTGACTATGCTACCCTATTTTCATATCAGTCTTTTCTTTTTTATCTATGCATAGTAATGACTGAAGCTTGCTTGCCAAGTAGAAATATCCAAAAATAAATATGAAGAAAAAAAAATTTTATTTAATGACATAAAAGAGTTAAATCTACAGAGACTTTGTTTTTGCTAAGTAGGAAATGATGCCACAATTTTAAATCTCTTGTTTTATAAGCTTTAAATGTGAGGAATGATAATAGTAATAATAATGTTAATGATACAGTAAAATAAATATGTTACATGTAAAAAAAAAATGAGATAAACTAAAACTATGAAGGATTGATCCCATATCTGACAGCTTTAGTGTCTAACATCCTATCTACTCAGCTATTGCCATTCTGAGAAGCTATGAAACTTTCACACTTATAAGCTAAACATTCAATTTACAGAGGCCTGATTTTTGGAATGCTTGAGAAGTGGGTCCTATTATTTGAACAAGGAACTGTTTGTGTTTAAGACTACATGGTCACCAGGATTTGAATCAGAGATCCAAACATCTGGCCCTATCCTTGTTAGTCACATTATAGCTATTGTGTATTTCAAGTAAAAAAACACATGGCCAAACGGCCATGTGTTTTTTTACTTGAAATACACAATAAATAAACAAAAAATTATTCAAATGAATTCATCATATGCAAATTCCAAAGCAAAGAAGAAAAAATATAAACATTGTTTTTTGAAATGTTATCCCATCATTCTCTATTTCTGATAAAAATATTTCTTTTATCAAACATACAAGTTTATTTAAAAGCGTAAGATTTAAAAAATTTTACGCTTTTAAAATTTTTTAAAAGCGTAAAAAAATTTTAACATGATTTTTTACTATCTAACATGATGGGAGTCACTAGTGACCAAAAATATTTGTTTTTTTTTTTCCATTTTTTCTAATGTTTATTAAACATCAGCGCTAGACATAGTTTATAAAAGCATCTAGTGTGTTTATCTTAAATTAATAAAAGAATTTTACAAAGTTTAAATACAGTAGAACCTCCATTATCCGGACCTCCATTATCCGGATTTTCGATTATCCGGATTGTTCAAAATAAACAAAAATTTTACGAATTTGCTGATTTGCACTTGGCGAATTACGACACTGTTTATGTTCATGATGGAATGCATAACNTACAATGTGGCCAAGGGAAGTTTCAGCACAGCACTTACTTCCTTTGCCTCCAAACCTGAGGTTTTCCTTGCTAGGATGAAGCTACACTTTTACGCAAGGTCTTTGACCAACACAACTTATGATCCTTGGAGGCTTTAGAAATCTATATGGCTAAGAAGAAAGGATGTTGCGTTAAATCTGATGTCATTACAGTACCACAAGCATGGAAATATTGAATCATTCCTTTATTATCCTTACTCTAAATGAGTACTTTATTTTTCTGAATGAGCCAGACCAATTGATCACAGTATATATTTTTGTTTTGCAAAAAGGATAAATACCCTCTTTAAGGATATTAGAGAACTATCAATCATTCAAAAAGCCTTTGACTATCCACTAAAAATTATTTAATTGAACTAACGAACGTTTTCGACCTTAATATTTGGTCTTCATCAGGTTTTACAAATTCTGAGATTCTAAAAACCGTTATGTACAACGAATTTAAAAACATTAGAACGTTGTGCCATGGATGCATATGTGACATTAACATATGCAGCATTCATAGCACAAATGAAATGTTATACGTATTATATACATAAAAAATGAAATAACAGAAATAAATTACAATAAAATAAGATAAACTAACAGAAGTATGTGTACATTAAATAGAGGTGTGGGTGTTGTGATCTCCATCATAACAGAACTTCTAAGCTTGAGATATATTAATAGTATCTTTGGAATTGATGCAGTTAGTATGTAATCCGGCCTTGTATACCTCGAATTTCTAGCGATTGGATGTGTTCTATGCAATGCTAGCGTCTGATCATTTTTGCATTGTGAAGGTCTTTTCTTATCCCTGGGGTTGAGGCATAGGATGATAGAATGATGGTGTCTTTGTTATAATCAGAATTTTCAGCTTCTACTTTTCTGCTTTTTTATTTCTTTTTGCAAATCAGCTCAAGACTTTTTCGGCTATGATTTTCTGGGGTGGGCCATACCCACCCAGGCCCCTCCCTGGCTACACCCATGGCTGAGACCTAAATATCGATCAAAAAACAAATTGTACTGTAAAATAAACAGGTACAGCCTTCTTGCTGAAATTGCAGTTTTTTTTAATGTAGTGTAGGACCTACAAACACTTGTCTTTTTCTTTTACCCATGACCCTCGTGTAAGGCTTTGCAACCCACAGGTTGAAAAACACTGATTTACAGCACATTAAGGAATGGAAAAGACCATCCAAATCCAGACAGGTTACCAGGCATCTACAAAATTCCTATAAAAGATGGCAGATTTAATAGAGAAATGGTATATGTTGGTGCAACCAAAAGGTCTTTAGGGGTACAAATAAAAGAGCATAAGTCAGACATACTACACAATAAATGCACGACAGCCCTTTCAACTTATGTGATAGACCCTGATATCACTGCCAAGTTTGACAAAGTGCATATAATTCTCACCACGCTGCATCAAGATCACCTCAGAGTATTAGAAGCAATAGAAATATATAAATCCGTATGTGAATCAACAAGCATTAATTTTAAGGAAGAAATGTCACTTTCTATGGCATGGCAGGTCCTAATGGACGATAATATTTAAATTTATTTTATTTATTGTATTTTATTCACGTTTATAATCTTTTGAATTATAAATGGTTCGCATTTCAAATCTCTTGGAAGCTCACAATGTTTGAATAAATTTGGAATGCGTGCGCATTAGGAATAAGAATTCAAATGCCTTCTAAAGAAGTTCAAAAGTTTAGAAACCAGCTTGCATTGGTTTGGAGAGAATGCATGAGGAAGAGTCCAAAAGGGGCATCGAAAATGTTTGCACTTGAGAAACAATTTTTTACTCCGGTTAATTGGTTTCAAGTAAGAGGTTTTATACTTCAACCCAGTGTATTAGGAGGTTAATAATATAAAACTTACTTGATGATTGCATGATGCTACGATTACATCCACTCCATCTATCAACACCAGAACACACTAAGCTTTGCCCACAGGGAAACAAGCAAATGGGTTTTAGAAATATGTGATATTTGTAGGACTCTAGGCTACTACATTTAGATAACTTACCAGTACTACGTTTTGGATCATTTAAAAAATAATTTGGGCTTACATTTTGAGAAATTCTACTTTACTTTTTATAAAATCTATCTAATAACCTATAAGGTTCTCACCAGACACATGCTGTTTATCTGCAGTTACTTTTAATATATTTTATTATATATTAATTAAATGTTCTTTAGTTTATGTCTTGGTTTTAACAGTTTCTTATAAATCTGTTCTGACTAATTTTGGTTTAGAATAACTTTAAATGAAAAGTTTTATTTTAAAATCTTTTTCTTTTTTTTTTAAATAGATGTATTAAATTTTAATGATGAATGTAACTGTTATATTTAATTTATATAGTGACTGCTTACACAAGAATAAATTTTTAAACTTACTTTTAGGTATACCACTTATATATGCAGTATGGAAGGTTCCTGAGCTATTACCACAACAATTTAATGAAATGCCTATCATACCATATCTTCACATTGCTGCTATTATAGCACCATGGCTTGGAAGTTCTGTATACCATTTATTTATGAATCATATAAGTGGATCTAAAACTTATTCACGTTTACTACAATGGGATGTTGTTGGAGTTTGGGTAACTCAAAGTTGTGGTAAGTTATTCATTTTTATTTATTTTAAGAAAAATTTTAAAATCTATCTCTACATCTACATTTATTAATTTCATGAAAATGACATCTTATGACTCAGATGTAATTTATTTTAAAACTTGTAATATAGTTTTTATTCATAAAAATCATCTGTGCATAAATTAAAAATCTCTTATCTATCATATATATACTACTGAGATCAAAAAGTATCTGGAATGGTTCATTTAAAATGTGTGTGTGCAAAAGCTGTTGTATTTTTTTTCTGTTATTTGGTATGACCTTCATTGACATCTAGTAGCAATCCGATATCTTGATGGAGCTGTTTACAAGCAAAAAAGAGAAGTCCCCATGGGTAGCCCAGTGTCCTGAGACCTTTGCGAAATGGTCATTAGACAACTTGAGCACAAGATTCTTCCACCATTCCTCCCAAACATCATGCTCTATAGGAGGTATATAAACAACATTTTCATCATGTGGAAGACAGTACCTGACATCTCGGCTTTCGTGCAGGCTGTCAATGATAACCCATATGGCTTAACAGTGGGTGTTGAACAGTCTAGCAGCACTGAGGTCCATTTTTCGTACATAAACATTAAAGCAAAAGGATTAACCATTCTCACATTGGTATACCACAAACTGTGTGCCACCTCTACTATATATACAGTAGAGCCTCGATTATCCGACCTAATTGGGGACTGGGGTTGGTCGGATAATTGAAAGGGCGGATAACCAAAAAGTATGAAAAAATCTATTATTAGTGTAGTATATTATTATATCCCATGTAATTAGTATATTAGTATATCGCTATTAACCTACTTTGCGTTGAATTTTCATCGATGTTAAGCCTAACAAAAATTTTTAAAAATAATAATCATTGCTATTGTATCGTTAAAAATTAGAAAGTTAAGTTTCGTTTAAATACTGGCTCCCTTTTATGGTCGATCCAGTGTTGCCAGCTAAAACACGTAAAAATAATATTAAAGTAGCCAAGACATAGCCAAATATTGTAGCGCCACATCAATAGTGGACATTTGAAATTATATGCTATTTTCAGTTTATTTACAAGTCAAAATATATATTACACGAGTTAGCAACATTGTGTATGCAAGATGATGTCACGTAGTACATTAAACAATAGGTTATCCTCTTACGGGATTACTCCGTTCTGGGGAGGCCTAGTTGCCTGATGGAGTCAACTCAACTGCATGGTCCATTCCCGTCTCTACACTACCCGTCCCAGAGGATTCTTTAAGAGGAGAGACTGTCTCTCTAAGCTCTGCGGACTGTCCAAGTGTTGGAGACTACCATGTCCAGTTTCTTGCCCTGTTCTGCACCTCTCTCTGTTGTCCTGTTATTTAAGGCTTGTTTGGTGGAAAACTTCCGACCAATCATAATTCTTCTTTCTATCTGAAGCCTACCAAGACGTCTGCAGTCCTCTGTCGAGTCAAGCTCACAATCACGTCTGCTCTTGTTTATATTTTCTTACTTTTTCTCTTTAATATTAGGTTGTTCAGAAAGTAATTTCGTTATTTTACCACTAGACGGATTAGTCGTACTTTTCCCGCCATTTTCATTCTAAACCGTATTATCATTATATATTTTGACAGCTAACTTTTAAGGCTTATTTGTAAAAAAAAAAATTTGTTTGATTTTGTGCAATTGTTTATTTTTTGTATCCCATCAAATATGGAAGATCGAAAGCAGCATTTTCGGAATATTTTGCTTTTTTATTACAAAAAAAAAATAAATAAAAATGCTGTTCAAGCGAGAAAAAAATTGTGTGAATCATGTATGGTGGAGATGTGTTGACAGAACGACAGTGCCAAAACTGGTTTACAAAATTTCGTTCTTGCAATTTCAGTATTGAAGATGCACCACGTTCTGGATGGCCAGTTGAAGCTAATGAAAACAAAATAAAGATACTGATTGAAACAAACTGCGGAATAACAACACATGAAATCACTGAGATTAAATTTGTCAAATTGAATCGTTTATGATTACTTGAAACAAATTGGTTTCGTTTCAAAGCTCGATATACGGGTTCCACATGTTCTTAAGGAGAGATGCTCTCTTTGGTGGGATTTTAAGAAAATTTTTTTTTTTTTGGAGCTTTTACCAGACAATTTAAGAATTGATTCGAAAGTGTACTGCCATCGAGTAAACAAATCGAGTAATATCATAAAACAGAAAAGGCGGGCAGAATTGATCAACAAAACAGGTTTAGTGTTTTACCACGATAATGTCAAATTTCACACAAGTTTGGTAACTCGTCAGAAACTGTTATAACTTAGATGGGACCTGCTATCACACCAACCATATTCGCCAGATCGAGCACACTCAGATTATTACTTGTTCCGGTCTATACAAATTTTTTTTAACTGTAAGACATTTACTTGAAATGACAATGTCAAAAATCACTTGGATCAGNTAAGACATTTACTTGAAATCACAATGTCAAAAATCACTTAGATCAGTTTTTTGTAAGCAACGATCAAAACTTTTATGAATGTGAAATCATGCTACTACCAGAAACGGCAACAACAGTATTTGACCAAAATGGTCAATATATAATTCAATAAAATATTTATTTATTATAAAAATATTAATTACTTTCCGAACAACGGTCGTTCGCCTCACTACCCCTTGAGGCCAATAAACCGAGCGACGCTCTCTTTGTTTTTCCTCCTGTTTACAAATAAACAACGCAGGTGGGGGTAATTTGCAAGGCTGTGTGACTTTTAACCTTACCTCTGTTACTTAAGAGACAACCTTTACAATCAGGCAAGCAAACTGCTGAGAAAAACACCGGAGGTTGCTGAACACGTGTGAAGGGGTGGGGATGTTGACGCAAGGAGAGGGATGTGGGTTTACAGTCCGTAGAACGACTTCCATGCAGAGAGGAAGGAGTCATCCTACCCGCATTCTACGATTTATTCACGTTCAAATTGGCATCGTTCAGATCATTAATAGAGATTAATAGATAACATTTTGTATGGAAGTATGTTTTAAATGTGAGTAATGGTTTTGATTTACTAGATACTAATGTGTTTAATTTTTTTTATAAGAAATTTAATTTGCTTTAGTGTCAACTGTCAAACTATCAATTCACTTTTCATATACGTGTATGTGTAACTAAACTACCTTAAATAAGTGACAAGTAAACCCTAATTTTGAATTGATTATTCTTTGGTATTTCAAGGAATATATTCAACTAATTATGTAAGTTTATAAATATTATTTATTTTAGTATTTTATTTATTATTGTTATGCAAGTGTATTAAACTTCTAGTATAAAAACCATGAAATAAAAAAAGCGTAATTTTATATCAAATGTACCGGTACATAATACATAAACAAATTAGAACTGATCTAAAGACTATAATTAATAAAATTTAATATATTTCTAGATTTTTAATATTGGTCGGTGTTTAAAAATGTTAAAAAGAAAAGAAGCAGAGTTAAAGAATAAGGCTCGAAAATCTTTTGAAAGAGAATGGCTTTCACACCTCGTAAATACTGATATACCATTTCAACCAGAAAAACAAAAGACAAAAATTGGAAATATCTTTAATTATCGTGAAGATATTGGCGAGGTTGTGTGCACCATTTGTGCTAAAGCAAAAATTGGTGGTGAATTCGCTAATGGAAAAAAATGGGAAGAATGGAAGTTAGATTATCTAAAAAGACATTTAAATCAGAAAATTCATTTAGATGCTGTTACCACATTAAATAATCAAAACAAATTTGGAATAGAATGTATTTTAAGTGAAACTGTTGAAGATCGAAAAACAAAAAAAGGAGTTTAATCAGAGACTAAAGTCTAATCCTGAAATGATAAAAGTGCTAATTGATAATGTGCTATTGGCAATTAAAATGGATGCTTCTATGAATTCTGTTCAAGAAATTCATGACCGTGTAGCAAAATATGTAAAAATTCCAGTATCTTGGCTCGGCAAAAATTATGCATTTGAATTCGTTGAGTGCATAAGTTTTGTGCTTAAAAATGAGATTATGGACACATTGAGAAAAGCTACTTTTCATACATTAATAGTTGATGAAAGTTCAGACATTTCTGTTCAAAAAATGTTAATATTATACTTTAAATTTAGATCAGAAAATGAAACATTTTATAAAATAGTGTTTGGAGGTATTCTAAAATTAAGATCATGTGACAGTGTGGCTATAGCTGAAGAAATAAAAAAATTTTATGTTAAGAATAATATTGATATGCAAAAAATGGTGATGTTTACGTCAGATGGGGCAAGTGTTATGCTTGGGAAAAAAAAATGGTGCAGCTGCAATTCTTCAATGGGATCTAAAACATTTAACTGAGCAGCATTGTGTGGCACATAGAGAAGATCTAGGAATAGGTGATGCATGTTGAAAGGTCTCAATAATGCAGGACATTGAAAAATTGCTTCGAACTGTATATACAATGTTCAGTCGATCACCTGTAAAAAAACAGAAATTAGAAGAACTTGCTCATATTTCTGAACATGATGTTGTGTCCTTTAAGCCACTGAATGAGGTGCGTTGGTTATCAAGGCAATTTGCTGTGAATGCTTTGATGAGGAATTACGATGTTTTAATTGAATATTGTGAAGAACAAGTAAATAAATTTAATGATCCTATTTGCAATTACTGCATAACAATTTTGACAAATCCACAATATCGAGTGGCATTAACAGTTTTTAATGATGTTTTAGATGATCTAGCATCTCTTTACAAATTCTTACAAAAAAGTTGTTTAACTACGATTGAAGCATTTGACTATGTTAAGGCAAAAATTAATCAATTAAAATCACTGTATCTTGATAACAAAATTTATTGGAGTGAAAAAGTAAAAAAAGTTGGATATGATGTGGATACTGCATCTATTATTCGATTTGTTAAACGTGTATGTAATCATTTAAATAACAGATTTCCAGATGATGAGTTAAGGGAGTGGCAAGCATTTAACCTTAATGCCATTTTAAATGCATTGAATTTTGAATTTGGAAATGAGAATATCAAGAGATTGATTAGAGAATATTCAATAATTTTAAATGTCAATAATAATGAAAGCACTGCCTCAAAAATATTAGAACAGTATTGTAATTTTAAATTCATTATATCCCAAAAATTGGAAAATTGTTCAATTAAGACATTCACTGATATGTTAAATTATGTACGTAATGATGATGAGTTTAAAGAACTAGCAGTTATTATTGATATCATTGGAACATTTCAAGCATCTAGTGTTGACTGCGAACGTGGATTTAGTGTTATGAATTCAATTAAGTGTAAAATTAGAAATAGACTTGAATCTGAGCATTTATGTGATTTAATGAGAATTTGAATGCATCTTTCCTCTGGAGAGGAAATGAATCTTCAATCAGTCTACAAATACTGGATTTCAAAAAAAGATAGACATGAAAATATTAATCAAAATTGATATATTTTTTTGTGATTAGTATGTGACTAAATACTTTACATTAATAAAAGTTTTTTATAATGAAATAAATTTTAATCTTTACTTCATAATTAATTACTTTAGTTTTTAAAAGAAAAAAAAATAAGATTGTCTATGTATCTGCTCAGCAGAAATTTTTTGCTCAGAGAAGTATATGTTCCGCTCAGCTACAAAAAAAATTAGAGGGAACATTGGCTGCATGATGTTTCAATATCTTGCATAATCGAATTTTGATCACGCTCATAATGGTTTTTAATTTCAAGTTAAATGTTTTTGTTCTATTTATGCTAGAATATTGTGTTCTATTTTTAAATTTCATTTGTCTGAAGATGATGAACATAAGTTTGTCAAAAGTGCTAGCAAAAATAAAAAAAATGTTAACACCATACTCAGTGTATATATTTACTTTCTTTTTATGTGATATTTGGCATGAGGTTCAAGTTGTATTGTGAAACAACTTTTTCTTTCAGGAATCTTTTTAGTGACTTCATCAATTCCATGTTTTACAACATTAGCTACAGCACATTGACAATAGCCAATTGCAATAGCCAATCGCAGTAGCAATTTCCCTCTGAGTTGCTCAATTGTGATGAAATCTTCAAATTAGTTTAGTTTCAGGTTCTTTGAGTTGGCATCTATGTGGCATGTTTCTTGTTTTCTCAATGATTATTACAAATAATATACTGTACAGTATCTCTTTGTATGCTATATGTGAATGTTTGATATAACTTCATTTGCATACTTTCTCCCATGATTGTGCATAAAATTTATACTAAACCTGTAATTTTGTCTCTATAAAATTTTGATTTTTTCAATACAGGAAGTCCTTGTTAGTTTGAAATTTAAGGGATGAAATAATTGCGACTTCAAATTATCAAGATTTACATATTTCTGTATAATATGTCAAATGCCATGTAATTGATGTAATTTATTAAGCAAACAGAATACAGCTAGGTACATAGAATGCTATTTTTATTCATTCATTCCGTAATCACCAACCTCACATTACATCAAGTTAGAATATAATTCAAATAATAAAATTACCAAAAAGAGTAACACACAATATGAAAAGAAATAAAATAGAAACAGCAAAAAATTTCTGTTGGCATTTGAAAAAGAAAAAAAACACTAACAGACAGTTTGTTTTTGCCTTTTCTATTAAAAAATTATTATTAGTAAAAAGAATTGAGTTNCTATTTTTATTCAGTAATAATTATTAATAATAATATAAATAAACTGAAGATAAACAGCATGTCTGGTGAGAACCTCACAGGTTGCAATATAAATTTTATAAAACGTAAAGCAAAATTCTTTGAAATGTAGCCAAAATTATTTTTAAAGTAACCCAAAAAGTGATAAGTTGCCCAAATCTAGTAACCTAGAGCCCTACAAATATCTCAATATGCTACTTGTAGCCCAATCTCACAATCCCAAAACACAGCCATATTTTATGAGATAGGAGAAAAAAAAAAGCAGTTTATGGGTAAGGTCACACCTGAAAATGTTTTACTGTAAAAACAAATCATGTTCACCAGATTAGAGTTGTTCTTTGGTCTATCATTCTCTTATAGTATGGAAGCACTTCGATTTAAACAAATGAGTTAACTTACACATATTACAGTTTGAACAGTATTCTCACTTCAAATTTCGAAGTATCCCATATTTTGAACTAATCAAATTCCTTACATGTAAATCTGTGTGTTTCTGGCCGGGACAAATAGTATGTTTACAAACTAATGGGATTTAGAACTATCTGAGTTTGAATTAATGAGGATTTCCTGTATTTTGTTTTCAAATAATTTGTGAGTATAAAACTATTTAACATATTAAAATAATAGATATAATTAATCATTTTTGCATCTTATCATTTCATTTAAACAGTTTATTCATTTACAGTCTAAAAATAGTACTTGAACCTATATTTTTATTTAGCACTGTATTCTTAACATGATCCACCAGTTGGCACTTAATAGGTTTTTATCATATTCATTAGTTTAACAATACAACTCAGAATAGGTCCCTTGATTGGGAAATTATGAATCATCTGGCCTACAGTCCAAATCTGTTGCCATGAAATTACCACATGTTTGGCTCTTTGAAGAAAGCCTTAGCAGACAAGAGATTCATCCAGAAACTTGAAATTAGAGTTTGTCATGCAATGGTTCTGATATCAGCCAAAAGATTTTCATTTTGCAGGCATAGCATCATTGCCAAAATGATGGGAGAAATATCATTATAAAGTGGGAAGGAGTGTCAGGGAGTATCTAGAGAAAGAAGCATAAGTTGGGACTATGTATGCATACAGTTCCATTGCCATTACTGAAATTCTGGACAGAAGTTGAACTACCCTCATATATTTTAAATATTATTATGCTGCAGAGAACATATTTTAGTAGATTCTGTATTTGGAGTGTTTGCTACAAAAAGCACTTTTGTAAGTACTTTAAAATAAAAATTAAAGAAAAAAACATTTTAAAAGAGATTTTTTTTATCAAATATTATGCCTATCTTACTACATTTGAATTAGCCAACTGAGTTCTGAAAATGGTATTATTATAATTATTTTTCTTGTAGTTTCTCAGCAGTTATTTTATTGGTTTTGTCACAAACTGTTTAACAGTATCTTTTTAGGATTATACATATACTAATAGATTTCAACCAAGTAACATTAAAATCTCATATTTCATATTCAAATAGTTTTATCATAGACTATCTAGCTGGATGTATGTTGCTTTTCTTATCCATTTAGATTATGTCAGTGAGTTTTTTATATTGACTACCATAAAAAGAAAGTATTTCTCATAATTACTGTTTATAATCAACAGCCATAGTATATGGGAAATCTGTATTGAGATAAATAGTATTCATGAGAACTTATCTAAAGATATCAAATGAAATTATAGATAGCTATTATAAAATGTTATTTTAAGAAAGCATATTATAACTGATGCTGGTTGAATTACAACTTTTTGATTAAATTTTCCAAAAGTTATTTATTATGATATAAATTATATTTACAAAATAGAATTCATATCACATTAAATAAATAGAGATAAGTATGTCAAGAACTATTATTTTAGATCTCAAAATTCTGATAATTTTAAGCAGTGTTTAACAGATCTTTATTGAATACATCTTATCTAGAATGTTTGGATGAGAAAGAGAGGAAAAAAGGTGACAAAATTTAAAATAAAAGATGTGTCTAGTTTAAAGAAAACTAGTAAGTTAAAAAGAAAACAGATGTGATAATGTGTGAAGTGCCCCCTATGCTTCTGCTCCACTTGACTGAAGGATCGACATTGCTTTGGCGATGACTAGACTACATCAGGATAGCAGAAACTGCACAGCAACTAGGGCTGTTTTTGTTTAATCTCAGTGTTTTTGTTGTGAGGTCACGGGAGTGGCCATGTGTGCAGGTGATTGGGTTCAGGATGGAGGAGATTTGAGAGATGATGAGTCACGTGGAGGAGGCCAGAGAGATGACACGTCGGAAGTGAACCATTCAGATGCTAGGTTAACAACTAATAACTGTTTAATTTCAAAGAAAAAGAGTACAATAGCATATTGAATTAACAGATCTATATAATGTAAGTGGTTGTGAGAGAGGAAGTTTACAATAAATTATGCATTGGCGTAAATACCTGGGGTTTGGTGAGATCCTCTAAAAGTGTTTCTCAACGGGGGCGATATTGCCCCCATGTGGGTGTTTTTCCATGTTGAAGGGGCGATTAATAACAATTTATATTTTGGGAGCAAAAAACAATTTTCTGGGCAATATAGTAAAACATTATATTAAGAATAATTAGATATTTTATTCGTTATATTGTACAATAATTAAACAAATAACATTATACTAGTCACTAGTCTATTCAATGCAGTATGAATTTGGCATTAGCCTTGGCCTTCGACATCGGAATTTTGAAGTGAAGGGAGCGATACTACGTTAAAGGGGGCAACAATTCATTAGAGGTTGAGAAACACTGCTCTAAAACAATGGTTTCCAACCTTTTTTCATTAGTGTACCCCTGTGGCATTTCCAACTTCTCAGCAAGCAACGCATGTGCAAATCTCACACTGCCTGTTTGTAGAGAGTGTTCCCATTTTGAATTTTATTTTGACTCTGTTCTCAGTTTCCCGAGTACCTACAAGTCTGGTTTTTTTTTATGCACACATGATTTGGGCACCTAATACTCTGTTCCAAATTGCAACTTCTGACTTGTACTCCTTCATACCTCTAAGATGGTAACACAGCAGGCAGTACGATTTTAAAAACAAGACAGTCTTGTCAATAAAAAAATTAATAAAAATACTGAATAAATAATGAAAAAAATTACTGCTTTTAGAGAAAATCTGGAGAAACTAGCTATGTCCTTTTCCTTGCTAACAATAAAACATACTTTTTTCAAACAATACGTGGGGATATTGTTGAGAGATAATAATAATAACGGTAACACACCCCACCATCAAAAGTCCGTAGCATAATCACTAATCACACATAATGGTATCCCCACTACCATTGACCGACTGCGTAACATTTATTGATCTGTTGCATTGTACAATTGGCAGCATAAGTTTTTATTTCTATTTTTGCATTTTGAAATGATAATAAAGTTTGTGATTGTTGCAAAGAACATTTTTTACCTAATAATTTTTTTAATACTATTCATTTGTGATACATAATATATTACAAATATAATCAAACACCAAGACACTTGCTGAGCCTACTATTAATTTAATATTGTAGAACAGTAATTTCCTGAGGATGACTTATTAAAAATAGGCTGAAAGCGTTTGAATATTAAATTAATAGTAGGCTCAACATAATGTATTATTTTTTCTGCCATAATAACTAACTTTTTTCTGTACCCCTATACAACCTATCGTGTACCCCAGGTTGGGAATCACTGCTCTAAAAGAACACGTGAAGGTAATTGGTTGGACTGTTTATTACTTCATTTGTCACTGGAGAGGGTTGGCACGTTCGGAACATTTGAGATATGGTGGTGTATTCTTGTTGCAATTGAGGCTATTCTATATTCAGAGATGACTGTATCCATATTTAGATGCACAGAGTTCTACATTGGTTGAGGAATGGGCAACGACTTGTTGAGTCAGAGAGAAATGGGTGGCGACTGCCTTGTTTGCCGTCAATTCCAATATTAAAACAGTAGCACATGGCCAGGAAGTCAAAGGATCATGGGAAAGTGTCCCCTTTGCTGTCGAGAACATGCAAACTGAGAAGTTTTCAGGTGTAATGCAGGTGTAAAGAATAATCAATGTTAGTTGTCAAAATAGGTATGATGAAATCAAAGAAAGGGTTCTCACAGATTAATATTTTTGTTCAAAATTCTATATTTTATAAATTTTGTATTAAATAAATTTAATGTAGTTATTTTCTTCAGGATATTTTATAAAAAATATTATTTATCAGCCATGGTTATCTGATTGATTAGTTGATGAATTTTGATAAATAAGCAAATTCTGAACAAGTAAGAATAGTATATTTTTGAATATTTTTATTTTTTAACTTTGAAATTAGATAAAATATAATTAAATCTATTTTGAAGATTTATTTTTAATCAAAATAATCAACACCTAATTTGTTGCCAAGGGAGTTTATTTAAAAGACGAACGTTTTCGATCTAGTTCATAGATCATCTTCAAGTTTTTTCAACTTGAAGATGATCTATGAAGTAGATCGAAAATGTTTGTCTTTTAAATAAATTCCCTCGGCAACGGATTAGGTGTTGATTATTTTGATTATTAATTTGCCGAGTATGTTTTCTGTTCAGATTTATTTTTATACAGTCTAAAGTAAAATATAAAATTAATTTTAAAATATTACTTATTAAAAATTGATTTGGCATTTTAGGTGGATTAACTACAATTTATACAGGAGTTTCTTGTTTGCCTTATATACTTCAATTAGTTTTTCTTGGAATTTATGTTTGTTTTTGCCTGAGAGCTCTTCAAGTTGCTGTATTTGCATGTGGACCATGGCAAAGAAGGCAGAGTTTTGCTATATTGTTTCTTATTAGAATGGTGGTGCTAATACTTAGAATGACTCCATATGGAGGAGGACATCCAGAGGTACTTTTTCTACAAATTTTTTTCTATATTTAAATTATTATTGAATTACAAACAACAACAGTTTTGTCTCATGAAATATTCATTTTTAACTCTGAATAGGCAATATATCATGTTATAATGCAAGATCTGTTATCTTTGATTGGTGCAGTTATTAGTGCAGTAAGAATTCCAGAAAGATGGCTACCTGGAAGATTTGATTATATTTTTAATAGTCACAATATCATGCATGTTATTGTGGTAATTGGTGCTGTACACATGCACTGGGCTGTAGAAAAAGACATTGGATGGATGATAAAGAGAGTATGTGATTGAAAATCATTTATCATAGGAAAATTGTTATATATTTTAGACATCTAGAAGTAATTTATTCACATTCCAGCAAATTCCATAATAAACAGTAATATTTATTTTGAAATTGAAATTAGTATATTTACTATATATAAATATTATTAAAAATAGAAGACATTTCATCATTAAACATTAAAATATCAGGATTATAAAAATAGAAATATTAGTTATTACAGGGACAAATGCAATTATATCTGTGATAATATAACATATATACATATATATTTATATATATTATGAATATTTCTCTCTTAATTATTAATATAGTAGAGAATAATATATTACTCTGTTATATTAATTGAATAGAGGAAGTATTTTTCAATTATTTTATCATATCATTTCACCAATATATATAATATATATATAATTTTCATTAAAACTTTGATACAAACTCTAGTGGGACCAAATATCCCCTTAATAATTATGATTACTAATTCTCAATAA